CCGCTCCTGCCGAGACTGCCTCCGCCACTACCTGCGCCTGGAGATCAGCGAGAGCCGGGTGCCCATCAGCTGCCCCGAGTGCAGCGAGCGACTGAACCCGCACGACATCCGCCTGCTGCTCGCTGACCCGCCGCTCATGCACAAGTACGAGGAGTTCATGCTGCGCCGCTACCTGGCCTCGGACCCCGACTGCCGCTGGTGCCCGGCCCCGGACTGCGGGTGAGCGTTGGGGCGTGGCCGCCGGGGGCGGGGGGCTGCGGGGTCCCGGCGTGGGGCCAGCCACGAGGGGCGGTCCTCGTTACAGCATGTGTGTCCCTCCAGAGGGAGGAGATGAGGGATGACCAGTGGGAAGGAGAGGAAGGTGGCAACGGTGGCGGGGTGCTAACCAGTAACTAGCCATCAGCAAGCCCAGACGAGTGGGGTGAAGGCACCCAACACCACACGCCTGCCCAAGGACTTCAGGTAGGGACTGAGCAGTCGGTGAGGGCAAGGGAACTGTCGATCGCCCGGAGACTGGGAGAGGCAGTTTTTTGTTGGGTGAATGCCCTTCTGTCCAGTGGTGGGGGTATCTCTTAACAAGAGTAGGGAGGAGATAATTGGCAAAGGACGGAATGAGAATGTCATTTTGAGGGGGAAGCGGTTGGGAGGGGTGTGTCCACTTGGCTAGGGGCAGACTTACCAGCATTGCAGGAGAAGGCGTGTTCTTCCTGGCAACCACTGCTGAAAGTTGGGATGGAGGTGACAGGGAAATGGCACTAGGAGAAAAGGACATCTCACTGGCAGAGCCCTGGGAGTACTCTGGGCACTGTGTGTTCTGTGCCAAGCTGTTGGGAGGCACCCTGTGGTTCCTATCCTGCTGCCTTGGACAGGGTGAAGGATGGACAGACCTTTCTTTGTCCAGAGAATCAATGGGGCACTGAGAAGAATGCCCAGAGGTTGGTATAGTAAGAGATAATGTTTCCTAACCCCTTTGATCAGGAGTTCTTGATGACAGTGTTTTTAATGCACTGTGTATGCTGAATTTTAAAGGTCAGTGAGTTAAAATATGCAGTATCTGCAGAGACACATTACCACCAGATTTTCCCATCTGAAGCATTAAGTGTTTTCCCCACCCCTTTAAAGAATCTGATTGTTTGTTACATCCTGTGAGTAGTCATGCGTGGAAGGGGGCTCATCTAAGTGATTGGGAGTCAGACTGCCATTACCTGCTCTGTGACCTTGGACAGATAATTTTGTGTGTCATGTTTTGGGGGACAAAAAGATGTTAGGGACTTCTTGCAGTGTGTAAATATAATGCTAATAAAAAGCCTTTTGATCCTTTGCTTCAAAGGAGTTAAGAGCTTTTAATTATAGCCTATATATCAAGGGTGTTTTGAGATTTCCATGATGCTGCTGTTTGTCTCTTTCAAAAGAAGCTGTCTGAGATTATTCTGCCAACCTTATTTAGAAATGGGTGTGTTATTTAACCTCACTGATACGGGATTTCTAAATTACTTTGACGTTAAAATATGCAGTATCTGCAGAGACACAATGATACATGGGAGAAAGGTACCATGTTTATGGTAGATTACTTTCACTTTCAGTTAGTAAGGAAGGACCTTATAGGCTCTTGGAGGGGTCTGCTTATGGCTGGTGGTGTTACTGGCCCTATAAGATTACTTTATATGGTATTCAAGTTTTGCAGGTACTATTGATCTATTTCCTAAACTAAAGAAATATTAACTTAAGAGAACACTGCATGTTTAATTTTGGAATAGTGTATTAATTCCTTTCTGATATATATGTGAGTTTCCTTAAATTTTAACTAAGAAAAGTGACATCACTGATCATCTTTCTGGAAAAGCTCCCATTTTGTTTTTTATTTTTCTGGAGACAGTCTCTGTCTTTGCTCATATCAATAAAAATGAACAGAATTAATTTGCAAACTTGGTGACAGCTTTAAACCATTTCTGATTTGGAAGTTATTAAAGAATTAGGCCATTTCTTATTTTGGCCAAGTATTGGATTGGTATCATCAGAGTTTATTGTTTAAAAATTAATTAAAAGGGCCGGCCCGTGGCGCTGGGAGCGCAGTGATGCTCCTGCCGCGGGTTTGGATCCTATATAGGGATGGCCGGTGCGCTCACTGGCTGAGCGCAGTGTGGGCGACACCACACCAAGGGTTGCGATCCCCTTACCGGTCACGAAAAAGACAAAAAAAAAAATAATTAATTAAAAGAATTATAACAATCAGGAGGTTGGGAAAAATATATATAACAATCACATATATAGTTTTTCTCCCATGCATCATCTGTAGGCTAAAGAAGATGACGTTTAGGGCTGACCTGTGGCTCACTTGGGAGAGTGTGGTGCTGACAACACCAAGTCAAGGGTTAAGATCCCCTTACCGGTCATCTTTTAAAAAAAAAAAACAGAAGGTGACGTTTGAGGAAAGAGAACAAAACTGTGCTGTCTACCCTAATCACGTGAATCATTGTGCAGTATATTCACATATTGAAACAACACAGTGTACCCCACAGATGTATACTAGTAAATGTTAAGATTTAAAAAAAAAAAGACTGGCATCCGAGTACCCGTATGCCAGGCATACAAAATTTAATTTGATGCTCACACCATTGTAAGGTAAATTTGATATAGTTTTACAGTGAGGAAACTGAAGTTTAAAGAAATCGAGTGGTTTGTTCAGGGTCATATAACTAGTAAGTTATACTAGTTATACTAGAACAAGGCTTTGAACACTGGTCTTAACTCCCATCAAGGCCAATATTCTTTCCACTCAGCTACTGTTTTAAGAAACATTGGCTTGCCAGCATAGCTCCATTACTGGGGATACTACTGTTTGGGTGCCTTTCCTTAAGTGTAGCTTAAGGACAACACTGAGAGAGCCAAGGATGCTAGAATCTAGTTTCTTTTCTCATTCCTGTTGTTAACAACCTCTTACCCTACTTTATTTTTCTTATCTGAAATAGGCAGTGTTTTGAGATTTTCAGTTGAAGGTGGTTAGATAAAAGGGAGTAACTTTAGAATTCTGTCACTCCCCACACAGGTGTCTGAGTTCCCTGGGGATGTGGCCGGACGTTTTGCTGCCTCTTTTTAATTCCAGGAGAAAAATAACTTCTGTGTTCTTACTAGATATTGTGGTTCCCTTGTTTTGTTTTGTTTTTTAAAAGATGACCGGTAAGGGGATCTTAACCCTTGACTTGGTGTTGTCAGCACCACGCTCAGCCAGTGAGCGAACCGGCCATCCCTATATGGGATCCGAACCCGGGGCTTTGGTGTTATCAGCGCCACACTCTGCCGAGTGAGCCACGGGCCGGCCCCCTTTGTTTTGTTTTTTAATCAAACTGTTCTGTTCTTCTGGGCCTGCTAAAAATCGTGGATGAGCACTAGAAGAAAGAAGCACAAGCCCCAGTTATCTTTTCTTCCCATACTTGATCATCTTTACTTCCCACAGGTCAAGTTCTTGCCAGCCAAATTTGTCAAGTACTCCCCCGGGGTGGGGGGGGTATGTATGTATATTTGTGTGTGTCTTTGGCAAGGTGAGGGGAGCATGTAAGTGACCTTACACAGTTTTGACCATTAGTTTTACTGTTATTACTCATGATAATTATATATTAAGAGATTCATTATTTGTTAACAAAATATTTGTAGAACAAAGAGACTTGAATACAATTTTATTCACGAATAAGGGAACCAATTTCAGTGGGAAAACATTCACATTATTATTTAATATACTAAGAACAATATTACCAAGTGTAATATTTAAAATATACTTTCAGGGCTGGCCCGGTGGCGCACTGGAGAGTGCGCCGCTTGAGAGTGCGGCGGCGCTCCCGCCGAGGGTTCGGATCCCATGTGGAGACCAGTTCCCGCTCACTGGCTGAGCGTGGTGCGGGCGCGACACCGAGGGTTGCGATCCCGTTACCGGTCAGTAAAAAAGACAAAAAGGAAAAATAAATAAATAAATAAACAAACAAATAAATAAATAAATAAAATAAAATATACTTTCAATTGAGATAAAATTAGCTCAAAATATAAATAACTCACATTTTTATAGTTCTTTATAGTCTTCAGACTATAATCTTATGCTGATATTTCATTTTAGTCTTGTTTAGGTAGATGATGATAAATACACTTTATAAAGGAGAAACCAGTTCAGTGAAGTTTTAAGTGTGGGGCCTAAAGTATCATAGCTAATAAATTGTGTAGTAGATCTATTACCCTTTGAGTCTCTGCTTAAACATGTCTTTTCAGAAACCCCAAATCATGTAACTGTAATGTTTTCCTCTCAAGAGCCCTATTGCCAATCTTTAAAAACCTTTCAGCATTTCTAGGAGATTGAGGGGTGAGCAAAATAGGCAACAGAACATTTCCTGGCATACAGGGGCAGATCTTCTGTACAGACAAATAGGAGATATAAGGCTGTCTTGACCTAAAATTCTTTGTGCGGGTCCACTACTCCAGCCTCTCATTGCTGCTTCTGTTCCCTGCAGGGTCCCCCCTCCCACCTGACCCCAGCAGATAACATCAGCTGTTGGCCTTCCCAGATAACTGGACTGGACCATCCCGTAAACAGGAAGCTTCTGTTCTTCCTAAGCACATTTATGAGGGAAGAACAAGCTCCCTGAGCAAGACACATTTCACAATCAGTGAAGGAGGACTTTTCCTTTCTGAAGCCTTCCTGGACCTCTTTTAATTTTACTCTGTACCTCCTATTCCACAACTCTTCCCTGCACCCTCTACCCCCAGCCCCACCACCATCTATACCATCCTCCAGCCCAATAATTCTTTCTAATATTACTCAAATACATTATTTCTCAAAGTATTCATTCTAAAGTGGAACATGTATATCACTCCCCTGCTTAAAACTTCATTGACTTCCTGACCTGTAAGATGACTTCTCATAATGTGTTTAAGAACTTATTTATTTGGAGCTGGCTGGTTAGCTCAGTTTGTTAGAGCATGGTGCTGGTAACACCAAGGTTCAGGGTTCAATCCCTGTACTGGCCAGCAAAAAAAATCCCCCCAAATAAAAAACATTTCTTTGATCTGTCCTTATCATTTAAACTCCTTTATAGTCTCCAACCACCTTTTGATTTTATGTTCCATTTTTCACCTACATCAATATTTCCTAAGGCATGCTATAGGCATTACTTGAAAGAAAAATGTTTTGTAATCAAATAAGCTTGAGAAATATTGGGTTAAACAAAATGTAAGAAGTTTATTTCTGAGCTTTGTAGAGTCTTTAAAAATGTTACTATGCACTGTAAGTCTTGCTAATGCTGATATGCAGTGTAAACTTTCAACGTGGTATAAATCCCCCAAACTTAGATCACCAGGTAACATGTTTTTGTTTTTTCTGTGACGTCTTCAAGGCTTAACTCAAACTTTCCCTATTTGCCATTTTTTTAAAACTCCTTTAACAGTTGTCAGTCTGCCCTGCCTTTAGTTAGTGTGCCTATTTAACAATGAATCTTGTGTTCGGAGGAGATTGAGAGCTCACTCCTCTGGAGTAGGATATCTGTATTGTGACTATTCCTACAACTCTGTATACAAAGTCTTTCAATTAGGTCCCAGAAGAATGGGGTGAATAGGTGAATTTTTATGAGAAAGATAAGGAATATGAGCAGCACAGTTCTTGGAAGAGGAACAGAGATGAGGACTGTGAGCAATATAGGATAGACAGGCACTTTGAGAATGATATAGTGTTGAACTTTGGGTGAATACTGGTATTACAAAAAAGACTTAGACGTGGTCTTCTTGGCTGGGAGTTTGACCTGGTAGACGAAACAGATTGATAGAAAGATAGGTAGGAAATGATAAATGTAATGTGATAAGTACTAAAAAAAATACAAGTGCTCTTGGATAGATGAAAGAATAGGTTTTGTAGGATGGTTTCAAGAAAGACTAAACAGAGGAGGGGCTATATGATCTGGGCCTTTAAGAATATGAGTAGGGGGCTGGCTGCTTAGCTCAGTTGGTTAGAGCGCAGCCTTCTAACACCAAGGTCATGGGTTCAGATCCCCATGCCGGCCAGCCACCAAAAAAAACCCCCAAAAAAACAAAAACAAAAAAAGAATATGAGTAGGAATTCATACCAGGCAAACAAAGATGAGGATAGAGAAAAAACCATTTTAAACCTGAGTTTTATGAGCAGGCAGGTATAACAATACAAGACACAATACTTAGTCCAGAGTCTGGTTTGGTTAGCCTCTGGATGCATATTGTGGGGAGCATGATCTGGGAAGTGACTTGAGATTAATCTGAAAAGGTAGACTGTATTCAACTTGATAGGCCTATCTAAGCCATGCAGATAAGTTTAGGGTTGAAGGACATTTTTTCTTTTTTATTTTTTGTTGAAGCGTTTTAAGCAAAAGTGTAACCTTGTGATAGGTGAACTTCTGGAATGGAATTTGGGTTAGAGTGGGGAATAGGGAGACCAGAGAGTTGTCTAGCCTAGAGATGGGTTTGAAATAGGGCAGGAAAAAAGAATATAGTAAAGGTACATACAGCTCATTGTAACAACTTGGCCCAGGTCTGTCAACCTCACACATACTCAGGATCCGTTTATAAATGGGTGACTGAGTTACGTTACATGACATGGAGATGGGAAATACAGACATACTATAGGAACACATTTCTTTAACTACCAGAGTCTGTTGAAGATAATCGAATTTATACTAATGGAAATTTTTTTCCAGAGCTGACGTTAGGTAATAGTGTCACATTATGATGATTCTGAAGATTTAGGTAATTAATAAAGTGAGCAAAAGTTGTATGAGATTAAGAGGGGGGGGAAGATGTAACAGTATTCTTATCAGCATGTAATTTCCTACACCTTCCTTTTAGTTTCTAATTAGGAAACCCAAATGTTTGGTTAAGCTAAAAGAGCAGGATAGGAGAAAAGCTCCAGTGTAGGACATGGAAGAGAAGGAACAAGACGGTCAGGGAAGATTTGATCTCAAGGATGAAGGTTTTTTTCAACTGCTGGGGAAGAAGATTGCCCTATTCATAACTTAGGGGTTACCCCTAAGATGGGTTTATACAAAATTTTAGAATATAGTTTATGGTACTTGGTATATAGAAAGCCAGTAGATTTGTGGATGTTAAAAAGACTGCTTTAGAGCAAAGTAATGGCTCAGGAGAAGAGCTAGGATGGCTGGGGTAAGTCAAACTACCAAAGCAAGAGAGAGTCTATCATTTATTCAGTACTGGTATTTTGAGCATGAACCAATGTGCTAGACCCTGGAGATTAAAAAGTGGATGATACTTTTCCTTGAATCCTGTGTGGTTGGAGAGGCAAGTATATAAACAGATAATTACAATATAATGTGATAAGTGTTATAAAATAATTGTGCACAGGCACAAAGCAGGCAACCAGCTACCTGGAGAGGTTAAGTAGGTTTTATAGAGAAGATGACATTTGATCTGATTCTTAAATGGGCATTTGCCAGGGCAAGAAGTTAAGGAAAAGATATTTCTAGGCAGAAGGAATAGAATAGGCAAAGGCCAGGAAGTAGAACCAAATATGCTATGTTTTTATGACATATTTTTCAGGACAAGATCTCAAATGCAGTTTTAGAACATGTTTAGCTATATTTGAAGGTGGTAAGCACCTAAATCTCCATTTGGGGGTTAGAAGCTAAGGTTTTAGAGATTTTAACTAGTTCAGTGTCATGCGGTATGAGTCAGAGGCAAGAGCCTGGACCAGGCACTGGAAAACAGGAATGCCAAGTCTCGTGCCCTGAGTAATTCTGTGTCATAGTAATAGATTGCTGTGGATTCATGAGTATTTAGGGTTAGTTTACTTCCTTGGAACCAGATTATACACCCAAATTTAACATTGTCAATTCTATCAAATGCTCTTTTTTTTTTTTTTTTTTTTAAATCTGTTTAATATTTACTCCTACCATGTGAGATAGAAATGGATCTTGGAGTGTTCAAGACTTCCTGACTGGCAGTCTATTTAATTTGTATCTTCAGAAGTTGACTTAATAGTTTTCTGAAATCATCCAGTAACTTTCCCATTTAACACAAAATAGCAAACATGACACTTTCTTCAGGAGACACATTGTTTATCTTTAGTAGTTATTTTGCAGCTAGGTGGGGTAAATTTGCTCAGAGCTCCTACAGGATATGAATCATTTTGCATTCACACATTGACCTATTCTCACTCTGTTCTTTCTAAGAAGAGTTTTAATACAGACTGTATTACATAACATAGGGGAATACGTTGTCATTTATGTTTTCAGCATCATCCTCAAATCAGTTTTCAGAATCTGTGATAAACCTGAAAACTTGAGTTCCTGTCACGGACATCTAATGTGCATTCAGATAAATAAGCAAATTGTAGAATAAATCCAAGAAAATGTTATTAGCCTTTTATATGAGTTGTTTGAGTTTTTTGGATATTGGGGGAAAGTGTGGAATAGGGGACAACAAAGCGCAGATGGCAGTCATTGATCTGTTTAAAAATTGTGTGGTGAACTTTTGAAACTTTCCATTTGTTTCTCTAAATTACTTCTTTTTTTTTTTTTTTTTTTTTTTTTTTTTTAATTTTAAGGGCTGATGGGTTAGCTTACCAAGGTAAAGGGTTCAGATCCCTGTATTGGCCAGCTGTCAAAAAACAAAGAAAGCAAAAAATTTATTTTAAACAAGTGTTTCCTTGTTAGGGTAATCTGAGCATTTAGTTGACATATTTAGAATTAATTAGAAAGGGTAATATATTGGATTGTTTGTGGGAGACTAATTCTTGGTAAGTGAACATGAATTACAAGAAACAGTTGATGCTAGTGCTGATAAATTCTGAATTGCCTATCTTTACACTGTGTCAGAAGAAAGAAAGGAAGATATGGCTTTATGTTGTATTAATTAATAAGATAGATGTGTGGTATTCTTGGAATCTGGAACCTGTCAAGAAAGAAGACATTTCAAGGTATAGATTTGAATTAGAGAAAAAAAAAAAAAAAGTATAGAAAGGTAAGAAGAGCTTTCAATAGAGAAGTTGATCATAAGTCCATTTAGGTCTGTTGTCTCTAGCTGTGGTCAGACCAGCTTCACTGTGGAACTTAAAAATGAAAAAGTATACTTGCTTTAGTTTTTGCTATAGCTCTTTATTATACAAATACTTTGTCCTTTCATGTAAACAAATTCTAATCTCTTTAAATATAGCAAACCACTGAAAGGAAATAGTTTTGTACCCTGTTATTTATGAAACTTGCTATGGCAAACTGCTTTAAAGCAGCTTCAGGCTCAATATATTTCCACAATTTTTTCAGGAAATAAATGTTTTATATCTTTGGAATCTCAAGAAATCTACTTTCTCACACAGGATATGTTTTATAGTTGTTCAGGCATGCTCGTGTGCATGTGTGTCTGTCTGTCTTTTCTCTATATCGTATGTGCTGGTAGGGTGGTGTCCAACAGCGTTAACCATGATCAATAATGTCTTGGTTAGATCATTGTTACCTTATTGGCATCTCTTCCTGTTCCCTTACACAGTTATGCTGTTATTGCCTATGGCTGTGCCAGCTGCCCAAAGCTAACCTGTGAGAGGGAAGGCTGCCAGACTGAGTTCTGTTACCACTGCAAGCAAATATGGCATCCAAATCAGACATGCGATATGGCCCGTCAGCAGAGGGCACAGACTTTGCGAGTTCGGACCAAGCACACTTCAGGTCTCAGTTATGGGCAAGAATCTGGACCAGGTATAAGTTGGCATTATCTCATTTTCTTTTTTTTTTTTTTTTTTGTCTTTTTTTGTGACCAGTAAGGGGATCACAACCCTTGGCTTGCTGTCGCCCGCACCACGCTCAGCCAGTGAGCGCACTGGCCATTTCTATATAGGATCCGAACCCACGGCCGGAGCGTCGCTGCGCACCCAAGCACTGCACTCTCCTGAGTGCGCCACGGGGCCAGCCCTCTCATTGTCTCTTTATTTGGTGTTTCATCATGTGAGCCCAAAGCTGAAAGAGATTATTTTACTATATAGCCCAAGATTCCCTGGGATCAGAGAGCAGAAAATATCATGTGATTCAATATTATATTTGATATTTATTTTTTCCGTCTCTGACCATTACAGTTTATCCAACCCATGTAAAATTGGAATGCAACAAACTTGAATGCTGTAGTTTCTTCTTTCTTAGTAATAAGTGTCAGATTGGAGAGCTATTAGGTCCTTTTGCTAGGGGCTTTTTCGAAACTTCCATTGTGAGCAGAAAGACATTTAATTAGTGTTTAACCTGTACTGTTTGTCTTCTAGCTTTAAGTACATCACTGCTTTTGGAAGCAGGGTACAGATTTAAGAAAAGGAAATAATATTAGTATGGATTAATGATTAACCTTGAAAGGAAGAATGTGACACATTCAGTTCCAACCTTGACAAGTCTGAGTAAACTTATTTTAAAATGTCAGTGGATTTATTGCCTTTTATAAATGTACTTTATTTCACTGATGTCATTTGGGAGAGGCTAGTAGGAAAGTTTTTGCCATTTACTTTTTTCTGGCACAGCATAATCAAAATTGTCATTTTAATAGGATAGTTCCTAACTAGCTGTGAAAATTACCAGGTGGATGCTACATAGCTTACCCAATTGTTTTTAGGTTTTGAATTTGAAAGTATCATGGGAAGGGACTATGAGTTGTGTTAATAGCAAATCACAATGATACTTGTTGAACCTGAAAAATTAGTTTCATGAACTAAAGTTTTTCAAAACTTAAAGCCAATTCCAGGCTGCAGACTATTCTTCCTGTTGGACTCTGCTTTTGCATCTGCTTAGCCTATTGGCTGATGGAAATTGCATTTTTGTTGGAACCATTTTTCTTTCTCCTTGCTCAGAGTGTGGCTTAAGTGGTATGAGATGCTAGTTACTGGGATAGGCAGCTCAGTATGAAACAGCATCTGCTCTATGAAAATTTTTGAAGTCTAGACATAGCCAACTTTCCAGTAAAGTGGGTTACAGAATTTGGAATCCTCAGTCAATAGTTCTTGACTGCTCCTCATTTCTTATGTATTCTCTCAGGAATAATTAAGTCAAACTAGGCTTAACTGGGGGCATTTTTCTGCCCATTCTTCCTTCCCCCTTAGCAGATGACATTAAGCCATGCCCACGATGCAGTGCTTATATTATCAAGATGAATGATGGAAGCTGTAATCACATGACCTGTGCAGTATGTGGCTGTGAATTCTGTTGGCTTTGTATGAAAGAGATCTCAGACTTGCATTACCTCAGGTGAGATGAGAAATGTGTTCATTGCTTTTGTAGTCTTTTTCTTTCACTGAAAAAATAAAAAAGAATGTCAAAGGACTCAATTGTCCTCTCATTACAGAATAAGGAAGCTATAAAAAGGTCTTCTGAAGTGTACTTTTTTCTCCAGCTCAGCAACCTCCGGGGACTGTCTCCATTACCTTCCAGATCATGTCTTATTCACCCCTGGCATGGGCTTTTTTTTTTTTTTTTTTTTGTCTTTTTCCTGACCAGTAAGGGGATCGCAACCCTTGGTGGGGTATCGCCCACACCACGCTCAGCAAGAGCGCACGCATCGGCCAGTCCTATATAGGATCCGAACCCGCGGCAGGAACGTCGCTATGCTCCCAGCGCCGCACTCTCCCGAGTGCTCCACGGGCTTGGCCCTGGCATGGCTTTTAAAGCTTTTTGCCGTCGGGCCGTAACCCATATTCTGTCTTTTTCCATTTTGCTTTCATACATGTTATATTTCAGATAATCTGGGCCTGCTGTTCCCTGTGTCTCTTTTTGCTCTCTTGCCTCCATACTTGCTCATGTTCTTTCCTTTGCCTAGAATACTTCCTAATCACTTCACCTTCCCAGTATCCCCCTTTTATCTCAACTTGTTCAGTTCTTATCCATCCTTCAAGAACCACTTAAATACCATTTTATCCATCATGTCTTCCCTTTTTCTGCCTCATTCTTCTTTATTGACATTCCTTTATCTCTTATAAATATCATCTCTACTTTGTATTTCATATACATGTCTAATCTTATTAAACTATAGTGCCTTGAGGCCAGAGTTAAGACCTTTTTACAGTTTCTTGCATGTAATGAGTTCCCAAAGAATTCACTGAGTGAATATTAAAATATTATGCTTGAGGAACTAATATTAACAAGCAAACAGCATTCATTCTGTAGATGAAATACCTTCATTTCCAATTTGGTGAACATTTGAGTACTTACTATGTACCAGTCACTGGGGACACAGGGGTGAATAAGACATGATCTCTACTTTCACAATTGCTTATCTCATCCAGCAGAAAAGATAGCACAAAGGGAAGGAGCAAAAATGGTTGGGCACAGAAGGGCTGAGTGTAACAGCAGCCAGTTCAGAGAACCAAACTGACATATAAGGTGTGACGGGTTCTTTTTTATTCTTTCCCAGGAACATGGTGTGCAGTATCTATTAGGTGTGGTAGGACATATGCCAAAAGTGTCCATTAGCTGTAGGGCACAATGTGTTTGAATGAGATGTCAAGTGTATAAGCTATGCAGGATTCCAAGTATTGTCAGTCAGAGAAAACTGGATCAGTGTTTGAGATGGGGAAGGCAGGGTTCAGCACAGAAAAATGGAAAAGGAGTTTCAAATCTGGAGGCCTACCTTCATACACGTACACACACGCGCACACACGTGCACACACACACACATGTAAAGAGCCCTGAGCTCTAATAGTCTGGCTTTGTCCTTTGCTCTCCCTTGTGTAATATGTTCATTTCCTGTAATCTCTTGTAACTGTCAGTCACTCCTATTGAAAAGAAGACTGGGGGGAGGGGAGGGGGAAAAAAAGGCTGTTGCTCTTATCAAGTTCTCTGATGATAATAGCTGCATTTGTAATATTGACATTAACGTCAGCACATTTCCTCTGCAGTCCCTCTGGCTGTACATTCTGGGGCAAGAAGCCATGGAGCCGTAAGAAGAAAATTCTTTGGCAGCTGGGCACATTGATTGGTGCTCCAGTGGGGATTTCTCTCATTGCTGGCATTGCCATTCCTGCCATGGTCATTGGCATTCCCGTTTATGTTGGAAGGAAGGTAAGACATGCTGGGTTGTGTGCATGTTCCAATTTCAGGTTTGTTGGTAAAGGTTTGAGGGAAATGGGAAGGAGCTTATATTCTAGAGCTGCCTGAAACCAGCTTGTTTTTAAATAAAAATAACCTTAGTTTCTTAAATAGATTTTCAGAAACCCCTATGAGATCTGAAAGTTCTTACTAACTTCTTGGGCTTGGCTTGTCTCAGTGACTTAAAGGTGAAATGCTTACTTCACTCCCCTGAGTTATTTTGTTTCTTCTTGAATTAACTTTTTCTTCATTAGTTTATATCTCGCAGGTCTGAGTAGATTAAAATTTGAAAAAGATGCGTCTTTGGGGTGGAAGATATGTTTTAATATGGATAACTTATAAGTGAATATTTACTTGTTCTTTTTCACCCTGGCAAAAGACTGGTGTCCTAATCTGGTGGCCTGGATTTTCTTTTCTATTCTTAGATTCACAGCAGATATGAGGGAAGGAAAACCTCCAAACACAAGAGAAATTTGGCTATCACAGGAGGAGTGACTTTGTCAGTCATTGCATCCCCGGTTATTGCTGCAGTTAGTGTTGGTAAGCTAGTCAGGACCATGACTCCTCTCTCTATCAGCTTCCTGACCATAGCAGTTTAGCCAGATGTCCATATGTTCCCCCGGAGACTCCTATATTTTATGCCAAACCCCCTTTGGTAGTTGACTCTGTTAGACACCACTATGATGATTATTTTTCAGTTTTTCATCCACACCAAATTATCAGAGTGTGAGATCTTTCATTCTTAAGTTAGTGCCCAGAACTTGGTCTGGCACATAGAAAAAGTTGAATTAAAGAAAATTACTTCAAACCTCCGTTTTTCACCTTTCATCTTCCTCCTCTTCCACTTGTACGGAACCCATAAAATAAAATTACTTTTGTTTTGATTTGTTTAATGCCTCACAGTATTTTGGGAAGCATACAGGTCTGTTTTAGAATAATAATAATAATAATATAACATTTAATGAAGTTCTGAGTGTTTCACGTATATTTAATCCTCACGGCCTTCACAAAAAAGCAGCACAGTTGTAACAGAAAAGTGCAGTAATTTTCCCAAGGTCACTTAGCTTGGATGTGAATCAAGGCAGTCTGACTTGAAATCCTGTGCTGTTAAACAACTAAGCCCTTTTACCTCACACAGAGTTTTTGAATTAACACATAAGATTTTGGAATTAACTCTGGGAGGGATCCTAAACCCCACTAGTAATTTATTCAATGTTTGATTCTTGATTGGTTCTTGGGTTAGCACTTTAGTAGTGATTAGAAAGCGGGGAAATGAAAGCAACATATATTTACTGACTGGACGCCATACATACAATCTCATTTGATCATTGCCAACCCTAAGAAAATAGTTTTAAGATCATACAGTTAGTAAATTGGAGCCAAGATTATAATACAGGCTTTTCTGATTGCAAATCTGTTCATCATTCTTTTATACCAGGCAACCTCTTTGAAGTAGCCATTTTCTGTCTTTCTTGGCCTGTGATATAGTGATTTTTGTCCATACACAGGCAGGGAAGGAGAATTTACGGCAGTTGCAACCTGATGGCCTGCTGACATGTTTTCTTTTCTTCCCCCAGGCATTGGCGTCCCCATTATGCTGGCATACGTCTATGGGGTTGTGCCCATTTCTCTCTGTCGTGGAGGTGGCTGTGGAGTCAGCACAGCCAATGGAAAGGGAGTAAAAATTGAATTTGATGAAGATGATGGTCCAATCACAGGTAAAAGAAGGATTTTTATTTCCATTTGAATTTATGGGACCCAAGACAAAAATCAGTAAAATTCAGCACATTTTACAGAAAGATTGTCACTGGATTACTTTGGATAATGAGATTTGTAGGGGGTAAAGTATTTTTAGCTTTTCATTTCTTTGTTCCAGAGTTTTTACGTTAATTCCTCTGGTACTTACCTCTGTGTGGCAGGTACAAACTAGTAGAATTTCAGGTAACTTTAATTCTTATATCTCCATAGTACTTTATAATTTTTAGAGGATTTTACACAGTTATCTCACTTGCTTTTTACAACAGCTGTCTGAAGAAAGAGAGCAGAGGCTGTTATTAACCCCATTTAAATGGGAACTTCTTTAAACTTTTTTCTCAATATGTGTTAAGAGCTTCTGCAGAGCTGGGGCTAGAGCAAGTCTTCTGACTTCTACTTTAATGTCATTTTTACTTTACCATATTAACTAACCTGGGGCACAGAGCTCCCAAAAGGTTTTTCAAGCTTCCTGCTAGAAGCTTCCAATCAGAATCAACACATGACCTAAACATCTTGAAATCTTAATGTTTTATTAAATGGTGGCTACAGTGTAATGGAAAGAATAGTGGACTATTCTTTCTTGGAATCAAAATTATAGTTTTATGCAACTAACCGTAACTTTGGACAAGTTGTTTAGCTTTAAATTCTAGTTTCCTCATCTGAAATTGAGGCTATTAATGCTTAGTTAGTGGGAGGATTAAGTAAGAATATATGTTGAAACACCTGATCTGTGGTGGCTGCACATAGTGGTGTTGATTAAGTGAATACCTTAGTACTTTTCTACATGAAAATCCTCCACTTTGAAGAGTCATTGCAAGGAAAATGCCTACCAGACTGTTTTGATGCTGTGGTATCTTGATTTGAAATGTTTGGTTCTATTCCCAGTGGCAGATGCCTGGCGAGCCCTCAAGAATCCCAGCATTGGGGAAAGCAGCATCGAAGGTCTGACTAGCGTACTGAGCACTAGTGGAAGCCCTACTGATGGACTCAGTGTTATGCAAGGCCCTTACAGCGAAACAGCCAGCTTTGCAGCCCTCTCAGGGGGCACGCTGAGTGGCGGCATTCTCTCTAGTGGCAAGGGAAAATACAGCAGGTAAGCAAATGGGTAATTTCTGACAGAAGCAGTTGGAATTTATAAAAAGTAACATACTGAACCATTTCTCTGTACCAGGCATGTTCCATATATCATCTCATTTTGATTTAATTATTGATGGGGTATTTTTTTTTTTTTTTTTTTTGGACTTTTACAAATAGGAAATGGGATTAGTGACTTATGCAGAGTTCATTGTTCTTTCCACTGCACCATAGCTGCTTCCATATAAAGAGAATAATCTTGACTTCAGATCCTCCCTCTACTACGTTAGGCTGCGTGTGCTTCAGGAAGGGAGAGCAGGCATTTTTATAGAATTTCTAAGTCTGTGCTCTCTGTTAGGCTTGTCATTGGCTTTCAGTTGAATGGCATTTATACTGTATCTTGTTGGCTTATTGGTATCATGATCCTTATTACCTTTCTATTCCCATTTGATAGATAAAGAAAATCAATTCTATGAACTTGCATTGAGAATATTTAAAGTTTTTTTTTTTTTTCCTTTTTCCGTGTCCGGCAACGGATCGCAACCCTCGGTGTCGCCCCCGTAACGGACCGGGACCGGCAACGGGATCGCAGCCCCCCCTCTTCCCCC